CGCGGCCCAATGGCAGTATTTAGATTGCCTCTCAAAACACCCAAAGTCCTGGTGGGCTGCAAAAGAAGCCTCAAATGCTGAAAATTTTTGTGCAATATCCGATCAAGCGGGGTCGTTGCCTGTCCGACCTTCATCGGTACTTTATGTCCTTCAGACGCAGCCGTAAAATGCGCATACGTCAGAGATCAATTTGCAGTTGAAGGCAATCCAATCTGAATGCACATCATTTATCCAAACGTTCATCCTGGAACGACAGAGGAGAAAAATGCAATTAAAGTGTTACATCACCGAGATGCCCTGCCAGAAGCGACGGCTGAAGCAAATGGAGGGCAATGCTACATACATCTGACGTATATAGGACCGTTGCCAGGACGGCCAGAATTTGCGTGATGCAGGCTTTCTCTCATGCGCAATGGGCTCGAACTGATGATAAATATTGTGTGTGCTAACTTACGCCTGATGTGTTTGTAACGTGGCACTGAAGCGTGTTACAGGCTCAATGGTAAGCCACAGAATTCATATACGAAAAAGTATTATTGTTGACGATGGGACCGGCCGGACAACAAACATACTAATGGAGGTGTACGATACTCCATCTAAGGGAGGGAGACACTTCGGACACAGTCTCACATCTTGCCAAAGTCCTGAACATTTGTTCCAAGCCCAACTGCGATTTGCATTTTAGCATTATCAATGTCTGTCTTGAGCTCTTTGCCACTTACTACAGTAAGACACTAGGAACAAAGATTACCGCAGGCAGATCAAAGATGGTGAACTCGGTGAAGTGACTGTTGGATTTTCATCAAGATAGCGCATTCTTTATGTCAAACGGCCCTATCTTGCACTCCTTATCGTGCTGTGTATTCTGTCGGCGTACCCCTACCCATAGCCATTTTTGAGACGTAATTTTGCTATTACCATGGGGCGGAAGTGGTGTAGTGACAAGTGGCGCGCTCACCCACGCGAGCGGTCCGGGATCAAATCCTGGGTCGTGAGTCGCCCGGGCCAACCAAGCCTTCCATCCCTCCGGGGTCGGTTAATTGGTACCAGACTTGTCTGGGAGGATAAAAACACTGACTTGTACATCGGCTGGCCCCCGCAAGTCATTGTATAGGCCACATCGCATTCAAACGCCACTACGAATGTACAAATGGAAGTAGAATGCGTGCCGCATCCCAAAAAGGGATTGATCAACGGCAAATGCTTTATCCTTTATTATTAATTTGCGTGCCATAGATAGTGGCATACAAACAGGGCTCTTTCACATAGCCCACCATTAATGTCCCCCATTCTATTTGCAATAACCACCTAAACGGTTGCGGGCGCCACCCCTTTCGATAAGAGCTTAAAATAGTGAGGTTTGTAGTGCCTTACCTTTTAACAGTAGTCAGCAGAAAATTTACCAAAATTTGTCATTGAGCCAATATTTCAGCAAAATCGCTGCTGAGTTTCAGGGACCCAAAAGTAGTCTTCGCAGCATGCCCGAGTCCATTTTGTCGTCCCATGAGTGCCCAGTCGTGAGACGACCATGTCTTGTTGCAACATGCCATCGCCTATAGGGATCAAACCGAAGAATACTAACTCCCACTAGGGCCCAGCCAAGAATACCCTCCTCTGGTTGTGAAGATCTTCCTACTGCTCTGAATTTTTAGCACCAGGGTTTTCTTTTCAGGCCTATTGCGTTCAATTGTTCAAGGGACGAATGGAGACGTTGGTGGCGCCCCGCTCGAGCAATTCGATGATCAACGGGACGACAGGTGTTACAGGTTTTTGCGATCAATCGGTACAGTAAATATTCTAAGGCTTTATTATGATAGAACCTAGTAGAAGATGAGTCTCGAACTAAAGTACGTAGATATTCAGACACGACATTTAAAAATATACAAATATGAAATAAATAGCACACAAGAGACGCGAAGTGAAGTCACATCATCACAAATGAGCTGGGAAGCAGGGAGGAAAAGGGCAGAGCATAGCAGTTTATGCTTTAAGGCAGTGATTACCGCAGAAACGTCCACTACGCTCAACCATCGCGTCGATGAGATTGTTGACGAAGTCGAATCCTGTCTTGAGTTGACCCGCAGCCTCTCCGGTTGTGTCAGCGAACACCTGTGAGATTTTTAATATTTTATACAAGGCAAAACTTCTGACCACTACGAAGAAGGGAAGAGGGTTGTTGGAGCGGTTCAGCCAGTCAAGAATGGTCTACGGAATAATAAAGCTAAATGCTCACTTCGTAAGTTCATCTATTTGGTTGGTCAGTAATTTTGAGCACTCTTGCCGAGGTCACTGTGAAGAGCCATTGTGTTGCCAGGAGGCAGAGAGTCAGCGCCGACGAAGCGTAACGATCAAGCAGAGGGACGAGCGAGACGCTGAGCCGGGACGCCAAATCAAGGCGGAAGTCGCAATATGCGGTTGGAATTCACTTTAGCAACATAGGAGAAAGAATGTCAGAAGATGGCTTCAAAGAAGGCGTAAACGATATGGAAAAAAATCTAACGATTACCTTTCGGCAGCCAACATTGAGCATTGCCTCCATTCCAAGATTTTGGCCGGATGGCTTCTTCTTTATGCATGTGGACAGGGCGGAATCAACAACTGAGACCCAATCGTTGACGGGGGTCACCCTGCAATGTTCACAAAATTTTTACTCAGTCTGAAAATTCTGTACCTATAAGGCAGCAGCTAAAGATACAACTTTCATTTGCTTACATCTGCTTCTTGATGCTGGAGACACAAATGTCGACCTTACTAGAGGATCCAATGGCGGTTCCACCTCGGCCCGACATAAGCTAAATAAATAAATTGGCTGTCGTAATTAGTCCTAGAAATGGGCAGGGCGGTAGACTATGTAGCACTCTCTTTATCGACCTAGTGGTTGTGGTGAGGTACATAGGTCCCACCGCCTGCCGCGCAACATTGGGCTCTGTAACTCGCCATGGGCTACAAAATTGCCGGCGAGGCGATGAGATGCTGCGCTAGAGCGGTACACAATGAGATCTACCACATTCAGCCATGGTACATTCTTTGAACACAGACACCAAGAATGTACTGGCATCCTCCCGTTCTATGTGAATTGATAGGTATAGTAAAATGGCTGAATGAAATGGTGCCCAGATAGCGTAACTGATAGTGCACTTGCCCGGAAAGCAAAAGGTGGTGCGGGTTCGAGTTCCACCTGGGGCCAAAGTTCAGTTCACAACCCATTCTTGTGAAAGCTGTTCTTAATTTTACTGGGCTATCAAAAAAGCCGTGCGAGAGAAGCTCAAGTTCTCGAATGTAGTGACATACATCATGGAAGACGTTGGAGATGGAGCCAATTCTTTCTCTTGAGCTCGTCACGAGCATCAGTGATACAGTTGCAGGTAGCGGTACGAGTTTGTGGAATCGTCTTGGCGCATGATCCAGTGGCCAGTCGAGAATCGCATGATGCCAGCACTGAAACAATTTCGCTTATAGTTTTATCACTGTTCATTGAACTCTGAGTACCCGTCAAAGGCCGATGGCTACGATAAATAGTCGTTTTCGAGGAAAGAGAGCAGAGCAGCTAAAGTGAAGCAGTTGAAAAGAATCTTAGGGGAACGGCCTGAACCCGCAAAATTTAACCTTCCACTTAGCCCGTCAGTTCGGCTCTCGGCTGGACCGATGCTTGACGTCAATTAACGTAAACGCATTGCACCAAATTTCGCCAAACGGCCAGAATCTGATGGCAAGGGCTTAGCAGCTGGGGTAACATCGGTGCGTGGACAGTCGCTGAGGAAGTCGCTGAGGAGGTTCACACTAAGCCTAGGGTCCTACTGCCGCAACGGGCGTGCCCTTCGAAGCAAATGCGCCCCCATCTCATCATTTCAGGAGACCTACTTCCCTTATGGTAGATCTTCTTCGATCTCGCAGTTTGACCATTTGCCTCTGAAGGACCCAGAAATATCAAAATGTGTCTGTAATCTGTGCTCCAAACCGCAATGGACCTCGCTTACAATTCACTCAACTGCGAGGTCAGTTGATTTACAAATCGGTGTGGAGTCCTTCCTTACATGCCTGACATCACTTATCAGACCTTGGAGATGGAAGGCTCGGAGTGCTGGTGTGTATGTATGTTCATGGGTGGCTTTCGGTCCAGGATTTATTCCTTGCATCGTGCGTTAATGTACAATGGCGCTTTATCGATCGAGGAGGCGGTCCTTATGCTTTGGAACTGCGGAGATTTGAGAGATGTGGCGTCTCCTTTGCTTTTTTTGTACTTTTCCAAAATATACCGGCTCATAGTTTCTACGCCGTTTGGTGTAGTAGATCCCATTGCTCATAAAATGCGCTAGGCCGATTCGATGGTATGGCCACGTTCTTCGCGGAACAGAATGCACTGCTTCGCAAGATCGGCCTCAACATAGACCCGAAAAGCGCGGCTAAGGGACGCCCGAAACAGCGCTGGCTCGATACGTTGCACACAGACTTGAAGTCGGTTAACATACACCCCGACCAAGCATTTAATCGGGAAAAGTGGCGTCAGCATATCAGAAAAGCGGACCCCGCCAACAAACGGGACAAACGCTGAAGAATAAGAAGAAGAAGAAGAAGCGTTTTCTCGCGCCCTCCGACAGAAGAACAAGAGCAGCACTGGTGATTCGTGCTCTCATATACCACCCCTACCCAAATTTCGTTACATTAATACCGCAACGTACCAGGGTTCACTGTGCGTTTCACCCTACTGCCAGAATTTATTCATAGCGCTGTCACTTTTTTCTCGAAAAAAAAAGTCATAGCCCTGACAAATGTGATTTATGGGCAAAGGTCTGTCGAGGGGTGCCGCCAATGCTTCTTTTTTGGGCTCTTTTTCTGAATATCGGTGTGAACTAAAGTGATTCTCATTCATCACCTTGGTCTCGATTGCATTCATATAATAAAGCCAGCTGTTTTATTAGCGCTTAGGGTGAAACTCCAGTTCGGGGGGGGGCACTCCATTTTTTCTCCAATACTCAAGATAAGGATTAGAGGGCTCACGACACGTAATCGACTCATTTAAAGTAGACTTCTGATAAATATTGGTGTAATGGGTGAGAAACCCTGAAACGTTTTCACATTTCCGCCTGCCATGACCCAAGGGAACGGTCCTGGACCAGGAGAAAGGACACCTCCGCAAAGGGCTAAGGGTGCAGGAGCTCCAGGGTGGATCACCTGTGCAGAAAAGTGGATGGGATGTGGGCAGGTAGTGTGGAATGTAGGACATCCACCGGTCCTTATCAAAAGTACGTTATCTTATCCGTAGTGTTCGATAGCCCAAAGAACTGCTCTCTAGTACTACGGATAAGATAGCAATGGAGTGGCCCCCCCGAACTGGAGTTTCACCTGCTCATTTATGCTGTACATAAGTGATAATGTTTTAGTATAAACTGTACTGCTATACGAAGCGGCATTGCTATAGAACAAAGTTGCTTCATAACTGTTGAGGGAATGGTTGTAGCGCATTCAGGAAAGCCGGGAATATAAAGAATTACTTTCTGTTCTTGGATTTTTTTAGATTTTTGTTGGAGTTTGGGTTTTGGGAATGAAAAATTTCTGTGCCTATTTGCTGTTATATCCAAATTTAGGTCTTAGGCTTCGGGACAGCACAATATTGAAAGGAAATGTTGTTGTTCAGATTTAAGACTGAAATTTTGAAAAAATCAAAGGGATTCGATTTTTGTTTTCCATTATCGGTTCACTGTATAAATGTTTTGTGTCAATACAATAAATTGCTAATATAAACTCGGTAGTAGGACCACTGTTGAGTAAACAACTAGATAAACAAAAAAGCGGGCGTTTTTTCGCAAAAATGGAATTATCCATGTATTTTTAGGGTGCGTTAACAGAATCGAGGGAAAACTATCAAAAAAGCTATGGTTCAGGACCACCCACAGCATGCCTTTTTGTGTTCCTTTGATTCTCCACAGGCGATTCCATGGCCTATCCTGGTAAAAAGAGACACCCTACTCTTCTTTATAGGAGGGTGTGGTTGGTGCTGGTTTGGAAGATTTTGATCGGTGTTCTTTTTAGAATGCATACGTCGCTAGCCCGAAATGGGCCCATCATTCTACATATTGCTCGAAAATACCCAAAAACCTTTTTGGGAGAGAGAACGTGTTCAAGAATAATCCACAATAGGACCAATTTACTGGGAAATGATTGATCACCTTGACAAATCTCTACTGAAATGATATTCAGTCTATTGTTGCAGAATAAAGGGAATGGAGTTCCGTAAAAGTGCACTATAAATTGGGGGCGGGGCGGGGAGGGTGGTGGAGTGGCAGTAAACGCCAGGACAAGGTGAAGCTGTCTATAACGAAGAGAAAGACTTTCGGTCACCGTGAACGGTAGCGGTGACTGCAAGTGGCTCCGCACTCTAATCATAATCGCCAATGTCAAGATAAAATGAGATCGAGCTCAAACCGGGCCAACCAAACCTTCCCTCTCTCCAGGGTCGACTGGTGTCATCAAGTCATCCGTGAGGATAAAACCACAAAGTTGGCACCGATCAATAGCCGCCAATAATTTCAAAGGCCATTCTAGTGCCAGTGGGATTTTGAAGGAATCTAAAACGCGCCCTCGAAACTAATTCACGGCTAGTTTGTCATCCTTTGTTCTTGTATCTGTTCTTGTTCCGATAATCGAAAACCGGAAATCGGAATGTTGTCGGCGAAGTAAAAGGGACCCATATACTTGATCGAAAAAGCTCGACCATAACAATAAAATATATTCTCCGTTATCACGGTCCTCACGCCTGCTCCCTTCAACTCGAATCATCCTTCAATCGGCCAAGGTTGTACGTCAATGTACTTCACACGTTCTCGAAAAGGATTGAAAAATATCGATTTTCATCACAAACTTTGCAACAGGGGTCGCCATCATAACTGGTGAACCAATAATGGACATCACTCAGGGATTGATCGTTCAAGGAACTTTTGGACATTGCTCTTACGATCTTGGATGGCAAAACTATGGCAGAGTGGGGAACAATCGATGGGAAAGGGAAATGACTCTCAGAAATTCGAGATAGGTTGCCCCTGGTTTACCGAGAAAAAAGCACATCCGGCACTCACCTTTGCAGTGTTCGCTGAGATATCCGACAAATGGATTGTGGAGACATTTGTTGGTGTTTGCTGCACGGGCGGGTTTACGTTCACCGCAGAATGCCAATCGAGAATGGATCAGAATGTGATCAGAAATGTAGGAAATCCTGTAATCAGTCGATAATTTCTTCCGGTCTAGGCAGGTCCTTCTACTAGGGAAACCTACACTGAATCTTTGTGTATGAATGCTCCTTCCTCGATGTCTGGAATGTCTGGAACACCAGGGAAACCGGCAACCTTTCGCTTAAGGCAATAGTTGGCTTCGCGAGCAATGGCTAAAGTTCATAAAGATATAATAGTGATACACGAGTGTTTTCAATTCGTTTCCAAGTCAAGGTTGTAGGCTTGAGTCCCTGAACTTTAACTTTTCCTTTAACTTTAACTTTAACTTGACTCTTTAGGAGATTACACTCGCTTGTTGGCTGCGGGTTGTCCTGAAGTTATATGTGCGTTCGTCTTTAAGGTCACTAAGTATAGACAGCGAGTATGAGTCATAAAGGTCCGAGTGGTTCGTGGTGATGGTGCGGTAGGTAGTGAGGAGTGAACTCTCGAAACGGTTTTGGGTGGCTGTTAGGTGTACCGTTTGGTGATCTCGAGTGCGGAGGTGAGAGGTGGGCGGTCGGTCCTCCTCTGGAGTGGAATTTCAGCGGCTTTCAGCACAGATGGCAAACTGAAAAGGTTGAAAAGGGTGTTTTTGCTCTATAGCCAAACGTTGCCTTGGGATGAGCGACTTTGATGTGCTTTACCTCCGACAGATAGTGCGAGTCCCTGAAGGTGCCGTGACGGGTCCATCCACCTGCGCTTGAGAGTCGTTCTGATTGGGTGTTTTGACACGAGCGTGCGAGTGGTGAGGTTTTCCCTTTCTCGTTAGTTTCTTTGGCGGAATTAAGCTGTATGTGAGTGCAGCTTTTCTGAAATATGTTTCATCGAGAAACGGAAGGTTGCTGTTGGGGGAGAGGACAACCAAGTTCTTTTGCGGCCGGGTTGTGGAAGTGTGCGGTCAGAGCGGAGGTGATTGGTGGGGGGTGGGGGGGGGGGAGAGCCAGGGGCAGTTGTGTTGACGACGGGCTGAGAGAGAGTGTGGTTGTGGGTGAGAACGGCGGTAAAAGCGGCGGGGGCAACCACATCCCGCAACCCGCTGAGGGGTCTAACCCACCCATGATGTTCGATGACCTGATCAAAACCGCACCGCCCTCCAGCCTCATGATCACAAAAGACTGAATGGGAGGCACTCACAATGCGCGACCATCTATAAAGTCCCATGGTGGCAAATTCACCTAGGCATAGGAACCGAAAGGTCCTCCACAAGATCTGATCTTGCTGTGGTCACAAACGTTGATGCGTCTGTTTCCCGACTTTTCGATGGATTTGCATTCCAAATGGGCATTTTTTGTGAGGATTCAATTCAAAGGAAGGAGTGTTCCTGACCTTCCGTGCTCTCGGATCTCGTTCTCGTACAGCATGTAGTTCTGGTCGATACTTTTCTTCATACATGAGAGATACTGGCCGAATACTTCTTTAGTGCCTGCCGATGATGAGCAATCCTGTGCCAACACGGATGCCACCTGCGTAGGATCATTTCAGACATGAATTGATTATTTTGTCTCCACAAGATAATTGTTTATACAAAACCTATAGATATAACGACTAACTTATTTATTCAGCTAATCAGCTAAGAAATTATTTTAGCCGCTAACAATGTGCTTCGGAGTTGCCGAAAAAAAACTTTGGGAGTCTTCAATGCTTTCAAGTTTTGCACCAACTTTATATGATACTATTCCTTAATTACGTGTTACCCTCGGGTTTTGCAGTGTCATAAGGTCTTTAAGCCGACAACGCAACGTTCAGAGCTTTCATCAGAGTGTGTCCTGCATTTTCTTTAGGAGATACACATATGGGAAGGGGAGGGAGGGGTCTGAACGTGCTATACCGTCAACGATCGGAAATCCACTGTTACGTTCGCATTCGCCAAAGGTGTCGAAGATCAAGATCAGGTGAGCTAAACATCTCATGTGATTCAGCGCTGACCAATAAACAGAGCGGTTACCGGGTAGATCTTTCTAGATATCGAAAGAGACAGGAATGATCACCGCGACCTGATAACCTGAGCTTTTGCTGAGAAGATAAGCGAACAAATTGATGCGCTTCTTCTTTTATACTCCGGGAAAACACATTATGTTACCCTCTGGCACATTGTAGGGGCAAATGGAGACGGCACTGTTCCCATGCTAGAAGCGCGATGATGAGAATGTCTATGCAGCAGGTGATGCGGGCACGTAGTGAATCCAGAAGTGAAAGCTGAAGTCGAATTCTTACGTTGGGTATCCGTATAACCTATAGGTGTGGGAGGTAGATCGGTGCCCCAGAGAGCCTGCATATGTAAAAGTTTAGGTCCCCTCCACGACAAAACGTTGTTTGCAGCATCAAATCAGGTATGCCCTGGACAATAAGTAGTCATTAGTGTTCATGCACAATCGTTTATACTAACTCTTTCAAGGAGTGTTCAAAGAAAACTCACGGCAAGTGCAGAGAGTGTAACGATTCGCATCATCTGAAATAGGTTGGATTCAATTTATAGGTGTGAAACTATGTCTCAACCGGACTCCATGCCGAATCAAAATAATGCACTTGCTAATGGAAGAGGTAAAAAAGATCAAGCGTGGCTTCGTGCCAATTCAAGTTTTCCGACGAGCCACGCCGTACGTCCCGCCACAACCACCATTGTGCGAGGTCTCCCCTACAAGTCGCTCCAGCCTTCGTGTCATCGAGCTGCTTTCGCCAGGCGCTCTGACTTGCAGAGCAGGTAACACCACTCATAGGATCACCCCAACATTCTGCTTCTATTTGTCGTCGAGGCGAAGGGATAAGAGAGGGATTGGGGAGGTGGAAAGGACGCGGCGTGGGGAGAGACGGATTTACGTCGAATTTTGAGGCATTATAGAGATTTTTATAAAGAAAAGCCTTGAAAGCGGATCTCCTCCCTATTCTGCTAGTACACGGCCCCTAAACCTTCGCCCCATGACGCCATCTGAAGCTCTCAAATACGATACCCCTGACCATCGCTACACACAAAAGCATCCGAACTACGACTCCCACTCGAAATTTCCAAATACTATACCCTGTTGATTTTTGCTCAACGGACCGTTGGCCCTGACTGAAACGGCCAATATAGGCGATGAACATCTCGGAGATCTGTGTTTTATAGAGTTATAGCGAAAACTAATCACAAAAGATTTTTATAGAGCAGATCGGGTAGCGTCTCTAATGTTCGCTCGGAAAAATTCTGAAGTTTCAGCATAAATACCGTAATTCACAATCAAATGGTTTTCTGGCGAGTGACATGGCTGCCAGGGCTGTGCCTCCAACTGCAGAGGAAAGGTACCCCTTCAAATTTTCATTCAAATGATGGACAGGGGAGCACTGCCCTGACCTTGAAAGGATTGTGAGAGAATCAAAATATGAGGGAGCTTTTTTTTCATTGAGACGTTGAATTGAAGGGTTTCCCCATGCCTGGCCCGGAGGCTATAGCATACGGCCGTTGAGCCTGAGGATGTGGTAAGACAGGGGCGGGATAATATGAATGTAGATACTGACTGATAGACTATCATGACACAGTGGATTGTCGTCACAATAGCATGAGTACCAATGCAGAGATGACAGAACTGGTTCTCTCAGAGACTGAGCGAGCGAGGGGGCAACGAAGGAGATGACACGTTGACCGGTCGCCGACGCCACGATGACATGTTGTTCGTCAACTAATCGCTGGAAATCTTCGAATACAACCGATCGAATGGCACTGCGAGGTTGGGAGGAAGCGAAGCGATCGAAAGGGAGGATTTCCAAAAGGTGTCGCCACTGTGATGACACCAATAGGAGCTCAACGAAAGGGTACACGGTTTAAGGGGTTTAGCGCGCAAGAACCGAACTGATCATCTCACGTAGTGCGTCCAGTCCCGAAGAACTGCTACCGCCCCCGCAGCCGGCCGCATAGAGGTGGATGACCCAAAAATCGCTCTAGAGACAGAGATAACGGATATGCTGACCAAGGACACGTACAAACATAAACCTTCACACAAACTACGAAAACAGTTCCGCGAAGAGCTTTGATCAGAACAGTCAAAGGAACGATCAACACAGCCAAAGCCTCGTCCTCGGCTGGTTTTCTTCTTATATACAGCCTAGACGATACTCAGATGAATCATTCTATCCAAGGTCATCGAGACGTCATCGAATGGATTTGCCGGTCGACCGTGATATCGCAAGTGACAAATCACGAGCAAAAAAACTAGCTTATTTTTGCTCGGTGATGATGAAATGGATTAACATATAGGACATCCCAAAAAGAAAGGAAAAATTGAACTTTTTATAGAGGGAGTCCGTGACTGCACAAAGATAAACATAAACAGAATAATGAATATAAGGGCGGAAGTGGTGTAGTGACAAGTGGCGCGCTTACCACGCGAGCGGTCCGGGATCAAATCCTGGGTCGTGAGTCGCCGGGCCAACCAAGCCTTCCATCCCTCCGGGGTCGGTTAATTGGTACCAGACTTGTCTGGGAGGATAAAAACACTGACTTGTACATCGGCTGGCCCCCGCAAGTCATTGTATAGGCCACATCGCATTCAAACGCCACTACGAATGTACAAATGGAAGTAGAATGCGTGCCGCATCCAAAAAGGGATTGATCAACGGCAAATGCTTTCCGCATCCCAGAAAGGGGTTGATCAACGGCGGATGCTTTATTTTTTTAATGAATATGCATAGAGACTGGTGAGTTTAAGTTTAAGTTTATTACGTTTGCGAAGGACACATTAGAAACAGTGCAACACGGCTAGGGAGCTTCTAGTTTTCGAACAGTACCGCTTCTTTTATAAGTGATCCGAACTCGCACAACCGTTTATTCGGCTCAGATGGACACAAGTCCCGATCTCAATTTGCAAGACCAACGCTGAACCCTTCGAGTAGATGTTGTTAATGATTCAACGGTGGATTGTTCGACTTTGATAAAATGCTTCTTTGGAACGCGACACGCATTCCACTGACATTTAAAATCGCTGTGGCATTTGATTGTGGCCTATACAACGATTTGTGGTTTCCAGGACATCTATAAAGCATGACTGCTTTCAGGGTAAATCCTAATGTAGTGCCTGTCCGAGAGAGAGAGTATTACTTTGAATAAGTGGATAAGACGAACTATATGGTATTTCAACAAGTTAGACAATAAACAAACAATGGTAATGTATAAAAACAGGTAACTATGAATTCTTGCAGGAGGGACCACGGAAGGGACCGTTTTTGTCCACTACTGCAGGCGCAGAACTTTCTGACCATTGAAAGGTAGATGTTACCATGGATCGGTAATCGCTGGAAATGAAAGTAGAGCTGTAGGGGAATCTAGCACTAAAGAAAAACGTGAGAGGAACGTCCACACTTGCTAAAGGAGACCGTTTCATTTGTTGATTTCCGCAGTACGTGAATCTCTTCAATAATGACAACATCAGCTTGAACGCCTTGCTCTGCTTCTGGGATAAAACGGGTGCTAGAGTAAGACGGAGAAGGACCACCAGCTTCGATAGCTCGATGGGCGGGCACAGGCACGAAAGCGCACAGAGGGATCGCAAAGCCTTGTCCCTTTGCTACAAGGTCCCGTAACGCTTTCGCATCCACGGAAAAGCGCTACGGTACCTTGAAGTCAGGCCCTTTGGAGTAGGTCCATTACCTCTTCTTGAAGAGCTAATTATACCTCGCTTCACATCGCTGTTGTATCACCTCACTTCGAGGATATGGTTGAGTTGTTTAGCCAGCAGGTGGAACAAGGGTCTCCTTTAGTGAGTGGGCCGTTCGTTCCCCTGATGTGACCTTTAGGCGTCGATCGCAAACGAAGAAATAATTCTGTAGTTTGTGCAGTTCAGAACAAGCAACAATCACGAAAGTGTTCTATCGTTCAGTTTTAAACCCTTAGGGAACTCCCTAGACCAACGTGTTCAGAGCACGCAATGCAGTACTGGTGCATTAATGATAATGAGGATTAGTGGAGGTGCTCCACCCAGGTAGCACCAAGAACGGTGTTTTCTCACGCTCAGGAGAGATTCTATGCTAGCGAGCAACGGAAGATTAAACTTTGGGTCTCCAGCGAAACTTATCAGTCCTCTGTCGTCTATACGGAAAGGAACGCTACTTAGTCATCAACGAAAGAGAAGCCGACAAATTTTTTTCTGAGGGAGAAACAACGCCCATTTCAGCGCACGCCCCGGTGTTCAGCTTCAAGGACGCTGGCGTTTTAATCACTATGTAACTTAAGCTCTCTTTCGTAACTTCAGAATATTAGTGGGTGATCAAGTTTGTTGAGAAAATTATGAACTGCTCAACATCAATACCATTAGCGTTTCTAGTTCCCAGTACGTGAGTATGGCGCCAATGTGGTGACGTCACTGCGTGCAGAACGAAAACACTACAAGAAGCTATCGTTACACAGCAAGAGTGCCTCAAAAAAGGCACTCTTCTCCGAAGTGTACAGGTGGAGGGTTGAGAACCAGTTTTCAAATTGACAGTTTTGGAGCCTGAAATATTCCCCGGTGTTTCAAGGAAGTCCGCAGGAAACGGGCGCTCCTTGCAACTTAATTCCAATTTAATTCATCGGATAAATTTATCCCACAACTTTCCTATGAATATTCAAAAAACTAGCAGCCTCAGAGATAAGAAGAATGGACATACCGTCTAGGTCTCGACGCAACGCTCAGGCGCTTCTTGCTCCCGCTCTCCCCTTCCCTCCCCCATCTCCAGCCCCTCCCCTCTTCCCTCCTCCTCTCCCCCACCTTCCCCCAGGAGCCTCATGCAGCTGAATCGCGAGCCGCGAGGATTCCCATAACCCTGCGTCAGTACTCCGAGTCGATGACGCATTTTCCATGGTCAAGAATAGGAGGGTGTTCCGAAAAGTCAGGTTTTGGTGACCCATTCCCGACATGGAGCTGCTGCATCGACCCCTGAAGGAAAAAGGCTAGAGCTTGCAGTCATCGAGTGCCTCTTCGAAGAGACTTTTCATTTTGATTTATTTCCATTCGTAGGTAGCCTTGCAGCCAGCAATGAACCTGAGACCAGCCGAGGGTTTGGGTGGTCTGACTGATGACAGCCGGCTTCGACCTGCACCACGTCTTATGAGTAAAGACACGCCAACCATCGCATCATCTGCATCGCTCACCGCTATGCTATTCGTCTCCGCTCTTCTTTCCCTCATCGGAGCCGTCTTATATTTCTGTCTGCCTTTTAGTGCCCTCCTTTGGAACGAGCTTCCCATATTCGTTGTTCTAGGACTCTTTATTAAATAAGGATAAAGCATTTGCCGTTGATCAATCCCTTTTTGGGATGCGGCACGCATTCTACTTCCATTTGTACATTCGTAGTGGCGTTTGAATGCGATGTGGCCTATACAATGACTTGCGGGGGCCAGCCGATGTACAAGTCAGTGTTTTATCCTCCCAGACAAGTCTGGTACCAATTAACCGACCCCGGAGGATGGAAGGCTTGGTTGGCCCGGGCGACTCACGACCCAGGATTTGATCCCGGACCGCTCGCGTGGTAAGCGTGCATTTGGTCGCCTTAGCACCACTTCCGCCCTGACTTTTTCATTAGCCGTACAATATGCCACTTCCTTCCATTACACCCATGTCAGCTTGGGGAAGCCTATCTTTCAGCTCATATCTACAGGCTCAATTTTTCCGTTCAAATGATTATTCTGCACTCTTGATCTCAAGCAAAGCCCGGATAAAATTGGTGTGAAGAGCTTTCCTCCATGACGCTAGAGCTCAGCATGACCTGCAGAAGAAAAAGAATAGAAAACCCTCGATTACGCCCTGAATAAGGATGTTCTCTATGTGAAGGGGTGTGCTGGACGAGTTTGACGAACCTAGTTCAAGTCGCGTCCAGTACATGGCATTTGAACCGCAAGGGGGACCGCTGGACTGCAGCACTATTTCAAGCAGCGGCCTGTTGGCAAGCGGAGGGTGGCTTGGGACGAAGTGTGGATTGTCGGGAAAGCAGCTTCTTGGCATACGTCAAGGCACTTTCGATTGCATGGGCGCAAAACCACGCTTTTCCTGCCGCTGTCTTCTACACTAAGGTATCGAACCGATGAGTGTGCTAATCCGGACCGTGCCTTAAAAGACACATTTCACAAAAGCAAGAGTCACTGGAAACATGAGCCTTTGGATGTTATGTGACCCGACAATGAAGGGGGCTCTCGCTCTACAGCAGGTCTATGGGCTTTCAGCTTACTCCATAGAAGGCAGTGCGTTTTCGCAGGAGAGACTCCGACACGGAGGAGATGAGACGGATAGAGACGAAGACGACGCAACACTTTGCAGCATCATTTACAAAGCATTTGCGAACGGAGGTGAAATTGTGGGAGATAAGGGCTTTTGCCAAGCGAAATGAAGGACTCAACATGTCGCAACCCATTTGTTTGGGATCCAGTCTATCTCACAAGAGTGGCGAGGTGAGAGGAAGTTTTCATTATCACTTGGGTAATTACGGAACGAGCCTGTACAATAGCTATATGTCAAAAGTCGTAAAGCATTAGAAGACCTGCTTCAGAAGGGTTCAATAGGATACATCAAATGATTGTATATCTAATCAAAAAAGGCCAGAACAAACAGAAAAGGAACAGCTCATAAAAATGCGAAAGGAGATGGCCTAGGGCCTTTTTTCATATCAATGAGATTATGTCAGATAGAAGACGGTTTTATGGCACGAAGTAGGTTAGCGCGAAGGTGATCAGATAGGAGAATCTGTACGACCCACTTACCACACCATCACAGCGTCATGGTCGCCATTTGGGCGTAGTTCTAGAAAAGTGTGGATGGCGCAAACGTGCAGACTGGGAGGGAGGAACAGGGCGACTTTTGCAACCTGACTCCAATTGACTGTAAAAATAGACTAAACGGTCGACATCCGGTTTAGAAAACTCACTTTCACTGTAAAATGATCGCCATCATTGGGACAAATGACGTGCGATCGTTCCGTACCGGGCCTCGATGAACGGTGAAAACCTCTCAGCAGCAGGATAACGTTAGAAAAACTTGTCCAAAACGTTAATCGTTGAGAGACATCCATAGGATTCTAGTTGCTTTTGGAAAATCAGTGAGTGCTCCAACTCTTCCCAGGGGAGTGATTTTTTTGGAACAATGACACGAATTCTTTACAGCAGACTCGTCTCTTGAGGGTTGGTAAATCCAAGGAAAAGCTGTGACTAAGAAAGGGTTGCCGACCATAGGAGTTGTGTCAAAACTGCACGCCATGAGTCGATGTGTGGTATTGGCAACCATCATGGTCACTACTGAGTCACGATTGAACTGGGGTTAGGTTTGGGTAGGGGTAGGGTGAGAGTGGGGTCAGAGTTGAGTCACGAAAACAGCATGAGTTTCTATGTCAACCCAAACGGTTGCAATAAATATGAAATGTCTGATTTGATTGCACTCTGCAAGGATTCCACCCTTAAGTCGCTTAAATAACCAGACTCGAGAGGGGAAGCAAAATCACGTAACTCGTGCCAATTGTGCATCTCTAGACCTGTATGATCCATCATAAGAGTAGTGTGCGCAACCCTTTTCCAACCCCGAATGAACGATTCTGACCCCGAATCATCTCTTTTTCTATCACTCTTGACTAGTTGTTGGGTGCGTAAGACCCTAATCCGTTTTAAAGGATAAATCACATGAAATGGGATTCATGGATGAACCATTCTTAGGCTGAAGATTTCTCACAGAGGTAGCATAGGAACAGGGCGCTATCGCAAGATACGGGGGCCTTGTGGTGGCAATGATTTAAAACCGCGCGAAACATGCTCGTTTTATTAAAAACGGGGACAAATTTTAGGCGAGGAAGAGACACTCATGAGTGTGTCAGCCATTTTCATTCTCTCCGGAATTCCTGCCCCATGGAGGCGTCCAACGCATGGCTCTCTAGCGTGTGAGAGTAATGCCGAGAGTGAACGTACGCACGGAGACACAGACGGCTCGCGCAAGGCGAGTGTGAATGCCGGCGCGGAGAGCGGTCAACGTCGGTCCAACGTCGCTCCAATATCGGTCCAACGTAACGGTTGACCCTGGTCCCAAGGCACTATAGCAATATGAAGGGTGTCGTATATTGCGATAGTGCCCAAAAACATTCGAACACCAGTGGAATGGACCATCATTGTAGAACAGCATA